GGGTTGTTTTGATTTGCATTTCCCTGATGGCTAAGGATATTGAGCAATTTCTTAAATGATTACAAGTATTTGATTAGGGATTTTTGTGCCAATAGTTACAAAAGCTATAGCTATGTTCTTATCTTTCCTTATTATGCTATTTCCTAATTTTCACATCAAAAAGTATTCTGTCCTCATAAGATGAGTCCATGAGTACTCCTTCTTCCTATTTTTCTGAGGGATTAAGGAAGGATTGATATTAACTTTTTAAAAGTTTGAGAAAATGCCAGTGAAGCACCAAAGACTGAGAAATAAAAGAGACTTCAAGACACTGTTAGATTACAGGAAAGCAGGAATATTGTACCCAGTAATTCTGTCCTTTACAAAGCATAAAAAACATGTGATAACAGAAATGGAATGACTTAAAACAAAATTGAAACAAGATAAATTAGCAACAAAAGGTGTGGAAATGTGGGCCAAACTAATAGGCCTGCTCTCTTTTCCCTGGTGTTCTCCATTCCATTTGATGTAAGTCACAAATTATAGTGGTTCTCACTGTATACAGAGGAAATATGCAAGACAATTTTATTATAATCAAAGAAAAATTTAAAAGACATGGAGTAAAGATTAAAATTGAGAGTCAAAAAATTAAGAATAAAATAAAATAAAATGTCAGATTTAGGTCCTAACTGATGTTCATGCCAACTGTAAACTTTCTTACACACCAACAAAAGACACAGCAGCAAGATGGTCACTATGAGGTTAAGAGCACCAGCTTGCTCTTCCAGAGACCTTGAGTTTAATTCCCAGCAACCATCTCACAACCACCTATAATGAGATCTGTTGCCCTCTTCTGGCATGCAGACAGACATGTGGGCAAAACACTGTATACATAATAAATAAATAAGTCTTAACAACAACAACAACAACAAAAGGATGGTCACTATAAAAGAAAGGACACTTTAGCTGGACCTTAAGGACATGATGCTCTCAAAGGAAACATCAGTAGGTACAGCTATCACAGTGCCTGGATCTCCTGTTCAAGCAAAGAGCAGCCTTAATGATGCCATGAGCATCAGTGAAGCCAGGTACAGAGGTCAAAGGGCATACTAAATGACAGACACTGGCAGAGGGGGTGGAAAGATGGCAACAAAGAGGAAGCATACCAAAGACTGTTTGGGCTTTGTGTATAGTAACTGGAGATAGTGGGCAGAGGACACTATAATGTGGTAACACTGGACATTTTGCTGGTATTGGTGTTTTGCCTTCTTCCATCAAATTTTTACCAGAGGGGAGAAAAGAAAAATGACAGCATACTCACAATAGACCCTAAATGAATTTTTTTCAAAAAGTTGCATATTATAAGGCTGGAGAGATGGCTCAGTGGTTAAGAGTACTTGCTATTCTTAAAGAGGAACTGGGTTCAGTTCCCAGCACCCACAAGGTGACTCATTTGATGAAGTTTGAAATCTATAGGTGCAAACTATAAACCAGCATTGTCTATGGCCAATAACCACACTGTGAATAATAATTCATTGGTAATACTAATAAGCAATGGATTAAACAAGGTATAGGAATAAACCATAGGATTCACTGTGGCTTGGTGTGATGAAGACTTCTGATTGACATACACTGGCCAGAGCATAACCTAACTATAGCAGGAGCTCATGATAAGTGAAACCTTACCACATCACTGCTAAGAAAGAGACAATGATGAACCCACCATCTCAGTGTGAATGTACTGTGCAAGAATTTACAAGGAAAGGAAGTATGGCTTAGGGTAATGCATTTCAAGCAATAATGAACAGATGCCTCTTTGGGGAAAAACTAGAAAAGAATATTTTAAAAATTTATTTCTGGATGATGATAAAAAAATTTTTCTCTCATGAATTTCACTTCAGTGGAAAATAAAGGCAATAAACAAGTAAACAAATAAGAAAAACATGGTTAATGGTTAACTTCAGGGAAGAAAATAAAGGCCTAGTGAGACAGTAACAAAAAGATATTCATGTAAAATGCAGCTGGCTGTTCATCACTGATAAGGAACCACACAAAGAAACACTGAGCTGTTTAATATTTTGCTTCTCACTTCTCTGTCAACTACAGTGACTTTCATATGACAAAGAATGAGCAAACCTTGATAGAATGAATATAAATCCATGTTGGGTAAGATGCTAAATAAATCTGCATTTTGATTTCCTCATTTAAATCTCTGAAATGCATTATATATGGGATGGGCTGTGTTACAAATCAGATGGAGTATCATCAGCCTAGACCAGCAATGAGTCAAGTGTAACAAGAAGAAATATGATAACAATAAATGTAAAAACCCTCACTTGTAGTCCCCCCAAATGTAACTGTACAAGATAGAGAAGGCACACTTCTTCTTTTATTTCCTGTTATCAGAGGCATAGTCATTACAAAATGTGAGTGATGAAAGGCTAAGGGCAAAGATGGAAATAGTAACTGCTGTGTTAGAGGCTAGGATGAGAAGAGGTAGACTGCTAGGAAACTAAACCCTTGTCAGTGACAAAGTAGAAAATGCCTTGGTCAGATATTGGATTTACTTTCTAAAATCCATCAATCTGAACTAAGGAAACACAAAAATCAGAACCCCTAGAGAAGTTGATAATAAATTATAAGAAAGACAAAACACAGGTTTTTCATGGAATAATCTATACAAACCCGTGAACTGCATTTCTGTTAAATACATGCCTTCTGGAAAACAGCTTTGCCTCTGCACCTAAAATATAGGATGACATCATGTAGCTCAGCATCACCATATGGAAACTTAAGTGGTTTGATTTAGAGAGACTCCCATCTGAGCTAACAGTGGGATGCAGATACTAACCGAGTAATGATGATGATATAATAATAATGTGATTTGATAGTATGAATTAGGAGAAACATGCTGTGAAGAATTAGAGTGTGTTGTTGATACATTACTTATGTGCACTAGTTCAGAGAGAAATATAGAATGTAGAACACTAATCATGATAGCTGTGCTCAACCATGGTGGTTGGATACAAATAATTGAAATATTATCGCAAGTAAGGATGCATTGATCTGTCCTGTAGAATATCAAGGAGTAGACCTGTCACTAATGATTAACATAAAACAAACACTTTTATACTGAGACAGGGTCTCAGGCTGTAGTCCTGACTAGCCTGAAACTCACTGTGTAGACTAGGCTAGCCTCAAATTCACAGAGATCTACCTGCCTCTGTCTCCCTAGTGCTGGGATTAAAGGAGTTAACCACCATGCTCACCCCTAAAATATACATATATTTAAGATTTTATTTTTATTTTACTCATGTGCATGTGTGTCTGTGTGAAAATATGCTCATATATGTGTAGGTGTTGATAGAGACCAAAAAGGGAGTTGGATCCTTTGGAGCTGGAGTTAGAGGTATTTGTGAGTCACCCAATGTAAGAAATGGGATATGAACTCTTGTGCTTATGGTTGAGTAGTAATTGTTCTTAACTACAGAGCCATCCCTCCAGTCCCAAGAAATACATATTTAAAAAAAATAAAATGGCTTCTCTGATTAAGATATTTTGCATGTTGTCAAAAATTCAAGGTCATTGTTCTTATACTATACATCTGCCTACAGATAGTTTATTTTTATAACATGAAGCCTTAGTCTTTAAGCTTTTTAGAGTGGTAAGAATTACAGTTTAGTAGCAACCCATGCTCGTCATAATTATAGCCATGTTAATTAGGTTTTCTAGATATACAGAGATCTATTTCATATGGGTAGGTAATCTTCAAACACTTCACAGACCTAGATAATATGGCATTTAAATGTTTTAGTAACTTAGAACTCTCTTGATGTGAGACATGATTGCTCCTGGCAGCACCGTTCTATTCCCAAGAAGATGTTTGGCACTGAAGAGACTCCTTATGGAAATTGTCTTCTTGGCATAAGCGGCCTGTTGGTCAAAGAACTGCCCTTGCCTCAACTGCTGACAGTAAGCACACTGTCTAATCCAGACAAGCAGGACAAAGGGAAAAGCGACTGCTGAACCTTGCCAAGACAGGGTAGGAAAGTCTTCCAAATTTTCCCTGCTTCTGGAAATGGTTTATCAAATAGTAGGCCTGTAGCCAAAAATGGATGCCCCAACATTGCAGAGAAACATTGATAACTGTCCAGGCAGCCAGCTCTCTCTGTCATTTCTTGCATTTTTTGGAAGTTGCTTGCTTGCACTTCCTGTTCACTAAGGTAATATTATTTTCCTTCTCAGGTCTTTGATGGGGTTGAAGGCTAGATAGTTACAGTTACAATACTCTCATATCTTACTAACAGCATATCAGGTACAAGATTTAGATCCTTCAGGATAGGTTATGTTATTACCCTTTCTTTCTCCTGGATAATATCTGATAATTATTCTTATTGTATGTAATTTTGTATTGGGATTAGAAGCTTCTTATTCAGAAAAAAAAGGGAGAGTGTTGTGGGAATTCATTCTGCCAATGGCTTTTAGGGTACAAACCCTAGGACATGGTTTTCTGTCTGCATACATGACCCTTAAGAGTGGAGGGAGTCTAGTTGTGAGCTTTCTCTTGGGGTGATCAGAGACCAGATAACCGGATTCATTTACTCCTGGGCAGAATGGAGGTCAATGATTACTGTTTACTTGGTTCTGCATCCTTGAGTGTATTTTTTCCCAATTTATATCTTAATAAATCCTTGATACCCCTTTAACAGACTCTCACTGCTTCACTTATAGCAGTCTTTCTCTCAAAATAGGAAATATCCAGATCTGAATACAGTAAATTGGAAACATAGATTATAGAAAACTCAAATCAGGACTGAATAAGATATTAGATAGGATTAATATAATCATTGTGTCCCAGAGATTTCAGTTTTGTCATTGAGTATAAAGGTGACCAAGCTGAATGTATTAGTTCATGCCTTGGATTCAGTACTTGGAGAAATACAGAATGGGAATCTATATAAAAAATAAAGCTTGGAGGGTGAGATTTCTTCCAAAACAATTAATAAATCTTGTTGTTGATTGTTCTTGACCATCATTATCACTACTCAAGTCATTCTCCTTAAGCTATTTGGTGGTTTTAGCTTTTCATTCAGTTTAATATCACCCACTGTTGAAATGTTTCAAATAATGAATTAATCAGTAACAATGGTAAAGTCTAATCCATGCTCACTGGCCATCCTTTCTTCTTTTCTTGGGCATCATTCATTATCAAGTGTGTTTCTCCAAAGTTATGCATCAAAGGAGAGGAGCTTTAGCAAATGATTGATGAGTCAGTCAATAGTTAATAGTTTTCTACAGCCCAGAGTTACAATTTAGAGTCCAACTCCCCAGAAGTTCTTTTTCAGTCTTAGGTAAAAATGGTTCATTTCCTTTGGGACTTACTGATGAAGGTGCTCTTTTTTTTCCTACCCATGGATGTTTCAGTTGCAGAAACAAATAGCTAAAAGCCATGGTTACAGCATCACCTTTTGTCGAGGGATGCATAATCAGGAGGAAGAGAGAGTAGGTGGTAAGAGTGTGAGGGGTTGCATCCTAACAAACCCTTCTGGCAGGGGCACTGCAGTGTGGTGCTCATCTTCCTGTGGAAACCAATCAGCCACTTGTCAAAAGAAATAAATCTATGTCGGTGTACAGGGGAAGACTTAACCAGGACATAAACATGATGGAAGAGCCTAGAAGCAAAAGCAACCCTATGTACAAAGGGCCAGAAGAAGGAAAAAGAAATGTTCAACAAACTCCAAATTTTTCAAGTTAAGGGCAGAGAGATGATTGCAGCTGAAAAAGTCAAAAGATTATAAAAGACCATTGAAGCCATGCTAAACAGTTATTTTTTTCTTATCTGTAACTAATATTTATCTGTAATTATTTTTCTAATCTGTAACTATTCATCTGTAATAAGGGAAGAAGGTTAGGATCACCAGCAAAGGATGTTCTTACTGTCTCACTATTAAGATCCATGTCTCTAGCTCTTCAAACTTAAGTTCAGCTCTTCATGTCACTGGTATCAGTGGTCTGGGACAGTGCTAGCACTGTATTAGCCAGCAAATGAAGAGTAAGCTAGTAACAAATAAGGCCATGTGGGGACCCAAATCAAAGTGTCCCTTGAAGTACGACATGGCTTCTTTTAGAGCAGTTTAATTAAAAAGTGCTAGGATCTATCCCAGGTAAGATGTATCTTAGTTGCGTTTGCTATTGCTGTGAAGAGACACCATGACCATAGCAACTCTTATAAAGGAAAACATTTAATTGGGGTTGACTTTTAGATTCAAAGGTTTGCTTCAAAGGTTCAGATTATTGTCATGGAGGGAAGTATGGTGGCACTCAGGCAGACATGATGCTGGGGAGGTAGCTGAGAGTTCTACATCCAGATCAGCAGGCAGCAGGCAGTGAAAAGGACACTGATCCTGGATTAAGCTTCTGAAACCTCAAATCCCACTCCAGTGATATACTTCCTCCAAAAAGCCCACACCTTCAGTAATGCCATTCCCTATGAGTCTATGGAGGCCAGTTTTATTCAAACCACCACAGATGGCGTCAGTGCACATTCCGTTCAAACACAGAAGGGACTTTGTTTTTGTCTGCTGATGATGGAAGATATGAAGCATTCTCATAATGGTAGTTATAACCTCTGAAGAGTTTGATCACAGGATGTCTCTGGCTTAGGGTAGTGTATTTTCTGTACAGATAGGGAGGAAGAGAGACCAAAGACATGAAAGAAACATAAGGCACACTCAAATATATGGGATCTGCTTCCTGTGTGGTTTCTGGGCTTCTTCCTCTTCATGTGCTCTTGACAAACTATCATTTCCCACTCAAGCCTACATCAATAACCACAGTAGCTGGCAGCATCTGTGCCTCTGTGTGTGCATCCTAAATGTTCAGTTATTGTTAGATTGCTATTCAGGCCTCAAGGAAATAAATAGGAGAATGCTGGCAGTCTAAGACATAGAAGATCCACTCTGTCCTGCTCCAAGAGTAATAACCAAAAGAGGAAGTCGTGTGGCCATTGGGTTCTGTGTTAGTTGGGATTTTTATCACTGCGACGAAACACCATGACCAAAAAGCAAGCTGGAGAGGAAAGAGTTTATTTGGCTTACACTTCAGCATTGCTGTTCATCACTGAAGGAAGTCAAGGCAAAAATTCAAACAGGGCAGGATCCTGGAGGCAGGAGCTGATGCAGAGGTCATAGAGGAGTGCTGCTTACTAGCTTGCTTCCCCTGCCTTAATCAACCTGCTTTCTTATAAAACCCAGGACTTACCAGCCCAGGAATAGCACCACCCGCCATGGACTGGGCTCTCCCCCATTGATTAATTGAGAAAATGCCTTACAGCTGGATCTCATGGAGGCATTTCCTCAACTGAGGCTCCTTCCTCTCTGATGACTCTAACTTGTGTGAAGTTGACACACAAAACCAGCCAGTCCAGGTTCTGAGGATGAAAGCAGAGAATAGATGGATGTGAGAATCCAGCCAGGGTCTCCCTTCCTCAGTCACCCCTTTCCCTTCTATCCAGTCCACTGCCCCAGTCCTCATCTGAGGGCAAAAATGGAAACTGGAATTGTATTCCTATGGAAGGCAAAATGAGAGTTCAGGATTGCATGTCTGTAGAGTGGAAAATAGACAATCCTGCTCCTTTTGGGGGGATGGGGTCCAGAATTTTATTTTTCTCCTTTTATTGACAATAGATTTTCTTCTCACATAATATATCCGGATTACAGTTTCCCCTCCCTCTAATCCTCCGAGTTCCTCCTCCCCTCCCCTCCCATCTGGATCCACTCCCTGTCTGTCTCTCATTAAAAACAAACGGGTTCCTAAGGAATCATCATAATATATAAAAATAAAATAAAATAAGGGAACGCTACTCTTCAGCACAAACAGAAAAAGAACTAAAAACAATATTAAATAGGTGATAGATTTTTAATATAATTATTTGAAAACTTCTAATTTCAAAATCATTCTGTTTTAAAACCAACCCTGGTGTAAATATAAAACACAAGAAAATGAACTGTTTATGATAAACAAAAGATGTAAATTATTTTCCTTATAAACCTATTTTATAGTTTTGGCCAACTTTTACTAATTGGAACATAAGCTATTATTTTTAGCTACATGTCCTTAATAGAAAAAAATTTTTTTGAGTGGAGAATAGTATACTCTCACCTGAGAAATGCACAGTGCATGAAATGTTAAAGACCTTAAAGTAGCAAAGTGGTTATGTCCCCAAGAGGACTTCTTCGTGTCAATGGCACAGCTCAGACCACACAGGTGTGTCTGTTCTCAGGAGCCCAAGTTGAGTTTTAGTCCCTTGACCTTCACCAACCTGTGAAACAACTAAAACTTACTTAAATAATGTTGTCAAGAGCAACCACATGTATGACACACAAAGTCCGACCCCAGCTCTGATAAATAAGATGCAATTCAATGTTCAACAATTAAACAGTCTTATAAAAACCACATGAATTCAAAAAGAAATTCTCTTCATCAAAACATCATTAGTGTAAATTAACTAATTCTTCCCAGGGGAGGATAATCCCTTTAAAGTATATTTTAATAAGAGACATTTTAATAAGTAATGTGAAACATTTTGAAGATAAAAGACATTTAAAAAATATATAATTGATCTTAAATGTAAGCTATCAAAGTGGTGTTAAGTGATGCTGAATGCTTTAAATAACAAATTCCTACCATTTAGAATCTGGCATTGTAAAACTGAATGTTTAAGAAGTGAATTGATATTCATCAAAATTTTAGACAAACATGAAAAAGATATTGTTATCTTTAATGTCTTGTATACAATGGTGAGGGATTGTCTCACTTTTTCTTCTAATTTTTGTCCAGTTATGTAGACAAATTTCTAGATGGTCTTATTAAATAAAATACACAGAGCCAAATATAGGGGTGAAAGCCTTAGAGAAAGATCAGGAAAATAGGGAAAGCCATAGCTAACCTTATCTTACCACCTCGCTTCCAAATGCCAGTTACTTCCTGTCTACCCACACCTTTATTGCCTTGCTGTTCTGCCCTCTCATTGGCTCTCTTAGCCCAGCTACCTCACTTCCTCTTCCTACACAGCTCTGTCACTTTCTGTTTGTCAGACCTCCAGGCCTCTATGGTTGGTACTAGGATTAAAGGCGTGTGTCACCATGCTTGACTCTGTTCCCTAGTGTGGCCTTGAACACATAGAGATCCTGCCTGCTAAGTGATAGGATTAAAGGCGTGTGCTATCACTGCCTAACTTCTTTGTTTACTTAAAATGTCTTGCTATTTCCTCTGATCTCCAGGCAAACTCTATTTACTAAAGCACAAATAAAATATCACCACATTTCCCCTTTTTTTGTCTAATAAAAAATTTTAAAAAAAGTTGTAACATAAGAAAAATTACATACAATAAGTACAATAGCTATATACAATATATATAATCAATAATTGGGGCATAATATATCAACCACATGGTTAATTTTTTTCCTGAAGACAAATGTGAATTAAGACCCAAGAAATGCTGCGCGGTGGTGGCACACACCTTTGATCCCAGCACTCTGGAGGCAGAGGCAGGTGGATCTCTGAGTTCAAAGCTAGTGGTCTTCAGAGTGAGTTCCAGGGCAACCAGGACTGTTACATAGAGAAACCTTGTCTCAAAACACACAAACAAACAAAAGACCCAACAAGCTGAGAATAATGATCTATAAGGCAAGAGGTTTGCCTGAAGTTCAAGGGTAGCCTGGGGTAAGGAAAAACCAAAGCAAATATGGAATAGAGCATTTACATGCCTACTGTTTCTCACAGACAGCTCATAGTCAAAAACCATTCATTGTCCCTGGCTCTTTATTTTCTTGGACTCTAGACTATGTTATCTCTGTTTGTGATTCATATTTAAATATTTTATACCTTGATGTCGATTCCCCATCATCCTTTGTGAATTCAAGGATTCAGCAAGTCTGTCACAATCTCAGTTGCCCATTCCAGTGTTATGGCCCAAGTTTATTAATCACTCAGCTTCTATAACTGAGAGGTCTAAGGTCATACTGCAGACAGGGCATGGTATCCTTTTTAGGTTCATGGCATTGAATAAGAATGTTTTCCTGAAATTGATTGAATCTGTTAGGACTCTGACTTTCATATTTTCTGGAATGCAGTCTCATCTGTAGCTGAATTCTTCTGTGGATGAAAAGAGTCCATCTGGCAGTGGTAACAGTTCCAGCACAGCACAAAGACACCTTTAGTTCACTACCTGGTGTGTTGGAAAAACCGAATGATGTGACTGGGTAGGACCCTGCCAACAATTATGTCCATTCGTTCTTTCTCAATGTCTGGCACTCACAGATGAAGAAAGCCCCTTTCTTCCCCACAGGGAGCTTGCAATCTGATTCTGAAAATAATATTCATTCAACTGGGAGTAATTTGTTCATGCTGTGAATTCCACAGGTCAGGGCAATTAGTTTGAGAAGACTAGACAAACAGAGTCCTTGCACAATGCCTGAGTTGGAGGAGACATGTTCAAGGAGCATTTGTTTAGCTCAAGCACTTGCATGTGTAGCATTTCATTGAAACTTCCTATTTTCTCTGCAGTAATTGCACTTAATCCCCTTTGAAAAGCTAACTGCTATGGAATGCAAACAATTTTTCTTGGACCACCCAGTTGGGGGAGATAGGGTATAAATAAACTCTCCAAACTAAATCCCATCATCTTTTTTGTTGTATCAACTTTCCTGTACTCTACCTTGGCTTTGCAATATTGAGGGCAGTACACAGCATATTACAAATGAAACAAAAGTTGAATTCACAAACTGTTTGCAGTAATAGAAAAGGCATCTTTGTAACAACGTTTTCAAATGTTACAGCACATCAGTCTCCCAGTAAAAGACTCAAGGCTAGATAATGCTAGTGAGTCACCATTCTCTCTCTGGGAAGGTGAAAAAGGATGATAGATAGGGAGGTATTGCTGGTGTCTGCACAGCCTCAGATTAGCTAGAGCACTGCCTGTGTCTCAGATCAGTCACCCCAGCCCAACAGAAACTACTCCTCCCTGAAGCATCCTTCTTAAAAGGGTTAAAATAAAAATCAGAAGCACTTTCAATTTATCTTGAAACCATCAGAAATGCCTTGAAGAAATGGAAAGAGACCAGTACAGTCTTCAACTGAGTACTCTTGAAATCTTCCCTTAAAAGGCCTCTATTCTAGTATACCACACAGCATGTTCAAAATAGTCGCAGGAGAACAGCTGGACTGATCAGGCACAGATTTTGAAAGTAGATGAAGCAGCAGTATTGTGTCATCAAATCTCCCAGCCCTGGAGCAAATGATAAGACATGTTCTCTTTCTTATTTCTCATTTGCAGGTGCAATCATTTACAACTAAATGGCAGGACTCTCTCAGACACACACAAGCAGTTAATATGCTCTAGAATTTTCCCAGGAACCAGATGGCATGCATCTCATACCAAGCTTGTTGAAATAAGAACTGAAATCATCTGCCAATAAGTTGCATGGAAGTTTTCCACAGTCTCCTTAGGTGACCCCATGTAAGATTTTGAAGTTTTTGAGGTCAGGAAGCTTATAAATATTCAGTTCTTGGTGACTCATTTCCAGGGCTGTGGTGGAGTAATTATAGAATAATTCTAGTTAGCCATCAATGAAAATATTCTGACTTCAGCTCATGTTAGAACGTCTTTTTTTCCGTAGTATTGCCGCTTTGTTTTCGTATGTCTTCCTAACTCAGGGTGCCATCTAATGAGAAGCAGATGCACAAAAAGACCCAGAGGCAGCACCAGTTCCTTTCTCTATGGACACTATCAAGGTGAGTCCAAAACTTCAGAGGACATGGCAACATGTAGAAATTACACTTTAAAATGTCAGTACTTGGGCCCAAACAACATCTGTAACTAATATTGTAATTTGCCTTGGAGTTCTATCCTAAACCCTACACGCATCTCTAGTGGGTAGAGTCATGTGATGTGTGCTTGCCCTATCCAGATACCTCACTGGATTGTATATCAATGTTCACATGTCCCACTCAGCCCAGCCAGTCAAAGCCAGTGAAACAAAACTGTGGCATTCTTGTTGGAAGTCTTAAGGATAAATGTCCTTTTCCCTAGATCATGTGAGCATGCAGATGCTGGTGGATATCTTGTTACCATTAAGGGGGCTTTTTTGAGGATAAAAGCAGGAGTGGAAGATCTTAGAAGTGGGAAAAGAAAATGGGTGAGGCAGGTGAGGGAGAATGATCTTTGAACCTCTCTTACTACAGGAGTCTCATTCTGGACTCAAGATTTTGCTGTTGTTGCTGTTATTGTTATTACACAGAGCAATACATCCCTAATGGCTTAAGTTACTATGAGCAGGGTTTTTGCTATTGCAAGATTAAAAATATATATTATAAATTACATATTATAAAAGAGTGTTATATCTTATGTAAGAATGTTATATCTTATATTATATAAAATTTGTGCTAGCCCTGATTATGGACAAAACAATATTGTGCTCCCAGGCATTAATGAAGCATCTCTGTTAATTTGATACTCAACTTCTAGAATAGTATTCACTTCCTTGGAAATGTGAGTCAAAATTCTCATTCTTTCTAAACACACCGAGGCATGGATGGATGGCTTTTCCAGCCTCACACAAGGAGACAGTGTGATGAAATGAGTGGAGTTGTGGACGAGTTGTTCATGTGGAAACAGTCATACTTGTGGACAGCAAGGGCATGTGTGGCAGGGTAGCATTTTCTCCCATAGGTGAAGGAAACTACGTAATTTATTTTTTCACTAAGAGAGTGAAACACTATTTCAGATGCCATGTAGACTTATGATTTCCTTTGTCATTCTGAGTTCAGTTTTCAGCTTCATTTGCTCAAAATGGCACTGGATGGATTTATGAGGCATAACTGGGCCTCTCTAGTCCATTTTTCACAGTGGCCCAGGCATCCTCACTATAACACTGTTCTCCCTGCCTCTACACACACACACACACACACACACACACACACACACACACACACACACACACACACCTCTGAGGATTTGTCAGTTCTTTAGTACTTACTGGTGAGTCTCAGCACGATCAAAAGAGTTTGTTGTCATGTACACATGTGGTTGGCTGTTAAAACACTTTCTTGTTTAACTATGTTTTTCCTTCTTCCTCTGTGTGTATGTATGTGATTTATGAATGTATAATATTCTATATGCACGGATGTCTATAATTAAGCTTTCCCTTGTGAGAAGTACTCTTGGATACCATTCAATTTCTTTCCAATCTCATTACTTCCACCTGTCTGTCTCTGGTTGTGTCTCCTTGAGATCCGAATTGAGCCAATCTCTGACCTGAGAGCTGTGGGTGGAGATGCGACACAAGTCCTAGAGCACTTACTTTCCAAACTAGATGGTCCCCCAGGCCTCCTTTACCTGAGGTCAGCCAACGCTGGAGGTGGTGGTGGGCATTCCTCCAGTCTGACGGCAGAGGCAACCAAAGGATGCCTAAGTGAACGTATTATGCTAAGACATGAAAGCTGCCATGGTTATGACTGTCATTTAAATTGTATTTGATGATCCTATTTGCTGGGTCAGTCTTGGTTTATTTAATCCCCAGTCTCAGAAAAGAAGGCTTTTTCCCTGTGTTATCACTGCTTCTTCCCTTGTGAGAGGAAAATATTGCTCACACCATGCTGCAATGACAAACAGACAACGCAGCCTTCCTGGACTGACTCAATGCCATCTTCACTTGCTGTGGCATCCTCCACCCAGTCCTGGTGGTGTCCTTCACCCACATCCTCTGCTCCCCACCTTCTCCGATAGGTCTGATTCTGTTGTCCAAGGTCAGGCCCTAGAAGGAAATTTTGATAAAATAATAATAATAAATTAATATAATAATAATAATAATTCAAAGCATGCAGTGAAGTGGCCTGGGTTTGAATTCCAGCTTAATCACTCTCCCACTATGAGAACTTAGAGCAGGATAGATATTTAACTTCTCAGAGTCTCAATTTCCTATTCAGTAAAATAGGGGATGATAAGATAAAATTGTAGCCATAAGTTTTTCATGTCCTGCCTGGCCCTGCAGTCTCATGGCCACTTATAAAATAATCATTCAGAGGCTTATATTAATTACCAATTATATGGCCTCTGGCAGGCTTCTTGCTAGCTAACCCATTTCTATTCATCTATAGATGCCACATGGTCATGGCACTACCGTTCTGCTGGCTTCTTGCTGCTCATTTGACGGTGGCTATTGTCTCTCTCACTCCAGCTTTCTCTTTCCTGTCTCTCTCATTGGATTTCCCACCTGCCTTTAAGCTGCCTTGCCATAGGCCAAAGCAGCTTATTTATTAGCCAGTGGGAGCAACATATATTCACAGTGTACAGAAAGACAGTCCCACAGCACTTCCCCTTTTCTGTCTAATCAAAAAGGAAGGTTTAACTTTAACATAGTAAAATAACATAAAATAGAACAGTTATCAAGCAGGAATTACAGTATAATATCTAGTCTATTTGTATTTGGCAAAATTAAAGAAAATATTCTATCTATCCTATATTGGTAAGTCTAAGGTTCCATATATAATTTATCTTTTTTCATAACCAAGAAAAATTATAATCATAACTATTTAGTCTTCAACTACATCAAAGACCTCCAGAAGGATATAAGAATACCTAAGTAAACAGGAAGTGCTTTGTATGCAGCTTCCAAAAATCTAGAATGGCAGAGACAGCTGCCTGCCTATACAATCACCCAAAGTTCCTCTGCAATCTTGGGGCTTCCATCTTCAGCCTAAGGCCTAGAGTTTCTCTGTTGCTTCTCCCTGTGTCCTGTAGAATATCTGGTAGTCTCCTCTGTGAAGTAGGAACCTGAAGGACCTTCTCTCCTTGTTTTGGCAAAATCAGTGGTCTTTTCCCATGGGTCCTGCATGTCCAATTTATACAACATACTGTTAAACAGTCCAGGCAAGAGCAGTTTCTTGCCCAAATGGCTAACTTTTGCCATAAAGAAAGCAAACTCCTTATGGAGTTTCTTCAGTGACCATCATCTTCTCTGAAGTAGATTGGTACTGCCAGGAGTAGACTTGTCTCAATGTCCAGAAAAGTCAAAGTTCTTAAAGCATTTTAAATGCCATATTCTGTAGGTCTTTGCAGTGTTTGAAGATTACCTACCTAATTGAAATGTATCTATGTATACCCAAAAAACTTAACTAACATGACTAGAAGTTTGATTATAATAAATGACTAATTATTCTATATTTTTAATTGTATATTACAATTTTAAATGACTTGCATAAACATAATACCTTAAATAAGAATATAAATATATATAGTATAACAAAATTAACTTTAAATTTGTATCAGTAAACCAAACTCCATAGCAATGTAAAATATTTCAAACAAGTTGTTGCTCTTTAAAAGTAGATTCAATAATCTCCCCTTTCATCCTATCATATCTATATCATATGTAGAAGTAACCATCTTATTAGATAAGAAACACAGAGCCAATACAGAGATGAAAGCCAAGAGGTCAGAGCAATAGCTAAGAGCTAAAAACCTTACCCTTCACTGTCGCTGTTGTCCTACCTCTCCGAAAGAGACCTACTTCCTGTGTGTTTGTGCTTTTTATTGACTTCCTATTCTGCCTTCTCATTAGTTGTAAACCCAACCACATGACCTCCTCATCACTGCCTGTCTGTACAGACCTCCAGGCTTCTATGGTTGGTATTGAGATTAAAGGCGTGTGTCTCCATGCTGGCTGTATCCTTGGACACACAGAGATCCTCCTAGCTCTGCCTCCCAAGAGCTGGGATTAAAGGCATGTGCCACCAACGCCTGGCTCTGCTATGGCTTGCTATTAGCTCCGACCCCCAGGCAACTTTATTTATTAACATACAAATAAAATCTCATTTCAGTACAAAAAAAATCACCATAATTCCCCTTTTCTATTTTAATAAAAAGAAAAAAGGTTATAACTAACATAAGTAAAACTATATACAAAAGTACAATAACTATATACAATATATACAAGTAATAAATACCTAAACAATGTCTAGTCCATTTGTATTTGACAAATTGGTATAGATTTTAGTTTATGTTTAAAATGTTCTACATTGCTATAAATTTTAGTTTATTGATACAAACTTAAAGTTGATTTTGTTATACTGTGTGTATATTTCTACTCTTGTTTGAGGTATTATGTTTATGTAACCCATTTAAAATTGTAATGGATAATTAAGAAATAGATTAATAATTAGTCATCTATGATAATCATATTTGTAGCCATGTTAGTTAAGTCTTCTAGGTATACATAGATATATTTCAGATAGATAGGTAATCTTCAAATACTTCAAAGACATACAGAATATGGCATTTAAAATACTTTAAAAATTTAGACCTTCTGGACAATGATACATGTCTGCTCCTGGCAGCACCGATTTACTTCAGAGAGGAGGATGGGCATCGAAGACACTCCATATGGAGTTTATCTTCACCTTGGCAAAAACAGTCATTTGGGCAAGAAACTGTTCTTGCCTGGGCTGCTTGATCAACTGGACATGCAGGACCCATAGGAAGGTGACCACTGAACTTCGCTTGACAAAATGGGCCTTCAGGTTCCTGCTTTGCAGAGGAAACTGCCAGACATTATACAGAACACAGAGAAAAGTGACTGAGAGACTCTAGGCCTGTGGACTGAAGACAGATGCCCCAACTTTATAAGAGAACTTTGGATGGCTGTCCAGGCTGTCAGCTGTCTCTGTCTACCCTGCAAGACTCCCAAAAGTTGCTTGCATCCTTCTCCCATTTCTCAGGTAGTATTATATCCTTCTGAGGTCTTTTTTTTTTTTTGGGTTTTTCGAGACAGGGTTTCTCTGTGTAGCTTTGCGCCTCTCCTGGAACTCACTTGGTAGCCCAAGCCGGCCTCGAACTCACAGAGATCCGCCTGGCTCTGCCTCCCGAGTGCTGGGATTAAAGGCGTGCGCCACCACCGCCCGGCTCCTTCTGAGGTCTTTGATGTGATTGAAGACTTACAATTTTCCTTAGTTATGATAAAAGATAAGTTAGATATAAAACCTTAAACTCACAAATATAAGATAGATAGGATATCTTCTTTAATATTGTAACTGTAATTCTTGCTTGATAATTGCTTTGTTATATGTAATTTTACTATGTTAAAGTTAAAACCTTCCTTTTTGAAAAAGAAGAAAAGGGGAAGTGCTGTGGATATCGCTCTGTATAAATAAACACTGATTGGCCGGTAGCCAGACAGGAAGTATAGGCAGGACTAACAGATAGGAGAATTGAGGGAACAGGAAGGCAGAGGGGGAGATGGCTGGAGCCGCTGCCAGGACAAGGAAGATGTAAGCCACAAGCCACATGGCAAAGTATATATTAATAGAAATGGGCTAAATATAAGAGTAAGAGCTAGACAATGTTAGGCCTGAACTAATGGCCAAGCAGTTTAAATAATGTAAGAGTCTGTGTGTTTATTTTATAAGTGGCCTCCAGGACTGGCAGGACTTGGTGGGAGCTGGAGAGAAATTCTCCAGCCACAATCATATCCCCCTTTTTTCTTTTGGAAAGAGATTGACTATGACCAATAACAATTTGTAACCAACCCCTAAACAAAGACAAACATCCATATTCCATTTTTTGGTAATGTGGGCATAGTTTTCTAGGCTACTTCATGCTGATAGGGGGCACTGGTAGTCTTATGTGAACATAAAGAAAATTTTAGGATTATGGTCAAATTCTGACTGGAGTATTCTGTGAGGCTGTATTCTCTGAGTCAGTTGCCTTGAGAATGTTCTGGATGTTGGATCATCTGGAGACCTCTCAGGGGGTCTTCCTTGATGGAACTATATTAACCTGGAAGAAATCCACAGCTTCCCATCTTCTGTGGAAAGAAAAGCAGAACCTCTTTTCCAAAGCAACGTATCCTTAGACATAAACTTTGAAGTCAAAATACCGTGTGTGTGTGTGCGTGTGCGTGTGCGTGTGTGTGTGTGTGTGTGTGTGTGTGTGTGTGTGTGTGTGTGTTTTAACTCAGCAGCCTTTACAATCAAATGTCTGTCTCCAGGTAAAAATCCCAAAGACAATATAACCCAGACTCTCTGTGTGATTTCCATCTTTACATGGCTATTTTTTTATATTACTTTTACTGTCTTTTTAAAGACTTTATTTTTCAAAACTGTTTCTTTATATAACTGTCTATCCTGCTTTCCCTCTTTCTTCTAAGCCTTCACGCATTTTTACATACAATGTAAACCATTTAGAGGTTTATTCCATCTCAATCTGTCTTTTGTGTATCTATAATCCTTTTATGATCATTGTAAACTGCAGCATGGCTAAGATTGAAGTGGCAGCCCTGGCTGCAGACTCCACCCAATTCAGCTTTTTAACATGGTGGAGGTACCCAGGAGAGTCACTCTTACTGCCAGCTCTGGGAAGCAGTGGGTCTATGCCTTCAACAAGCAGCGTGTAGCCCAAAAACCTTTTTTTTTTTTTTTTTTTTTTTTTTTGTCTGTACTAGGAAAAGCTAAATCCATCATGCAGTCTGCTGCATGGCTTGGAGAAACTTCTGTGTACTGTGGCAGGAATCCACCATGCTGTAGGTCAAGCCCACATGCTACAAACCCACCATACTGTAGCTCAAGCCTACAGGCTGCAGCTTGCCTAAGAGACACAACTAGGAAGCTTTTTTAGCTCCGTTTTAGAATCTTCTTTTAAGTTCTCTCAACTTTTAGGTGGAAAGTTGAGCCAACACATTGGGCAACCAAATGTAGCCATAAGTTTTCTCTGGTCCCTCCCGGCACCACGGTCCCATGGCCACTTATAAAATAATCATAC